GGTGGATGACTTGGTGCTCCCCTGGGACTTCTTTGGACAGAGGAAAGCCAGTTTCTGATGTGGAATCACTCTCCAGGTTGAGGTTATTCTAAAACAGACAAACACACAGACAAATAATGAACAAATACTTAGAAGGCGGGTGGTTAAAAGTGCTCCTATTAACAGTCCATTGAGTCAAGGAACAAGGATGCTTTATTCCAGTGGCTGGAGCTAAACCAGTGTTTTAGTCATTGCTCTAATACAGTGAAGAGACACTATGGCCAAGGAAACTCTTAAAATAAAAGCATTTAATTGGGGCCTTGCTTATAGTTCTAGAGGGTTAGCCCATTATTGTCATGGTGAGAAGTAGACAGGCATGGTACTGTAGCAGTAGTGAGATCTTTACTTCCTGACCCACAGGCACTAGGCAGAGACACTGGGCCTAGAATGGACTTTTAAAACCTCAAAGCCCACTCCCAATAACCTACTTCCTCCAAGGCCACACCTACTCCAACAAGACCATACCTCCCAGTCGTTCCCAAAAGGGTCTGCCAACTGATTACTTAGCATTCAAATATATAAGCCTATGGGGGCTGTTCTTATTCAAACCACCACCAGCAGCATAGTATTCCCAACTTTTCCCTTGTAAAAGGGAAAAGTCATTTTCCTAGCGCATGGTTTAGTTTTTCCATCTTTAAAAGGTCAGCTCAGGAAATATCTCTCAGTTTATTACTTAGGAATTTTTTTTGGAGCTATGAACCATTTATCAAGTACCAAAGCACATCAAATACAAGAGAGCTATTTTGAAGGAAAAGAGATACTCATTTAAAGCTGGGACCAACTTATGGTTTATTCCTCACAGCCTCAACTGGGTAGCCACCATGGCTTTAATTACAGTCTTGATGACCAGTTTTGTTTGTTTGGTGTAAGCCACAAAGGAAAAGATTTGATTAAATTGGATAAATATTTAAGTCAAACTATTGATTATATTTATCCATTTACACATTGTGTCTCTATTCATTCATCAATACATTTACCTATTCATTTCTGTTCAGCCATTCATTTTTGTCTATTCATCTAACCATTTATCCATACAGATATCCATTTCATTCAGATAGTTCTCTCTCCCCAATAAATAAATCCCAACTTACAAGCTAGACACGAGATGCGCTAATAAATGAGATAGCCACATGATAGGTACTCCTTTAGAATGTACATCTGTGTGTAATAAACAAAGAACACATAGACAAGTAAGATAAGACACTATCGATTGATGATGGAGGAAACATTAGCTAGGTAGACAGACCTAGCACCTCTTTGAGGAGGTAATAGTAGAAAAAAATCTGAGCAAGAGAAGGAGAAGCCTCAAAGTGATCCAGAGGAATGGCAAAGAGCAAATAAGATAGTACTTAGAGGAGGAACTGACAGCTACTTTCAGGAACATACAATCAGGAAGGCTGGGTGTAGAATGACAAAAGTTGAAGAACCACATGAGAGAAGGATGAAGAGATAAAGTGACAAAAATAGAACTGAAATTTAATGCCTTTATTCTGAAAATTGCAAGTCAAATGGTTTTCTTACTTAGTGAAAAATGTCCCAATTTGGCGAAGGGGATTGTAGGCTGGTAATCCTTTGCTCTATGTGTAAAGGACTCCAAGAGAAAATGCATGGACCCCAGAAAATGGAAAGGGACAGGATCTCCTGAGCTAATCAGGAGCATGAGGGTAGGGGAGAGGGAGCTGGCAGAATGAGAGGAGAAGAGGAGGGGAGAGGAGGAAATGGAGGAGCAGAAATGTTGAGTTGGGGGAAGAATAGAGGAGAGTAGGATGAGAGATACCATATTAGTAGGTCCGAGGAGAG